AACATGTATTTGACTTGAATTACTGAAATCAAACTTTGATGACATTGTAATTACTGATCACAGTCAGATGAGCGGGAGCTGCTGCAGGCTTGTGTTCCTGAAGCTGCAGGTTCGAGTCCAGGTCGGTGACCCCTGCAGGAGAGGACAGCCAAATGAAAAAACACCTCCTCTTACTGTCAGATGAGTCTGATCACATCACATGATTGACTTCCTGTCAAAATGTGATCACCAAGTTTGCACAAACAAGAGCCACGTTCAAAGTTGTATTTTAGTCCTGGAGGCATGCTGGGACATCTGGACTCTTTATGAAGCAAGGCTTCAACAATTTCAACTTTGGCAACATAAAATAGAAGATCTTTTAGAGATGGATAACTTCATCTGACCTTTGAGTTTACATTCATCTAACATCTTACTACATTTTAAAACAGCTGGGTGTGGGAGGAAGAATGGAAAGGCCGGGTGAAGAAAASGATGCCGTTTCTGAAAATGTCGGTGTCTTCAGTCACACAATAGTCACCGTGCAGCTCCGGCTCTCCCTCTGCGGTTATTCTTTTCAACTCAGAGAAGTCCAGATGAAGAAGTAGGTCGAGCTGACATCCCATCTGTTTGTTTTGCACAAGACAGCATCCCTCCCTGCTCGGAACATTTTTTCCCAACACCAAGACAGCTTGGAACCAGACATGATGAGTACAAACGGCGAGGCGCCACACATCCAACAGCAAATCTAACCTTTTAACACAAGARAGAAAAGGTGGAATAAAGACTGAAAATGTTTAATCTAAAACAGGGGTGCCCAAACATTTTCCCCGAGGGSGCAAAAATGAAAATCTATCCATGGCTGCGGGCCAAATGCAGTTATATAATACATGAAATACAAATACTTTTTAAAGTAAAATCCTTTATTTTTAATCATTAAGCTGTGCAATGGCCCTCTTTAGTTTTAGTCTGTGCACTTGGAGAAAATCTGCCGTATGCTCAAGTAGCAAAGGCTCATGGGACATATCATAAATTGATGAAATATGAGTTTTTGTGGCCTTATAAAGTGTGCAAATCTACATGAGGGGTTAAATTGGATCTAAATGTTTCTTGTTGTCATTTCATGTTTCATGTTTAATCCTAATAAATCAAAGATATGTCAGCACCATGACTGAAAACTACCTTCACTACAGCCCTTTTATATAGTCATTTGACCAATGGAAATACTGTGTTTCTACCTATAGGATAACAGGTTACAACCTTGTAACTTTGGCAACGGTTGGTGGGCCAAATCAAATGGCTTGGCAGACCAAATTTGGCCCGCGGGCCCCACKTTGGGCTCCTCTGATCTAAAACAAGGAGACTGAAACTTAGAAATCCTGGACTGAGATTGGTTCGGATGCTAATGATTGCTATAGAATATAAACAGAAAATGTTCATTTCATGTTAAATTAGGAGCTTTCAGTTCCAGTCCAGCAGTTCTCACTAAACGAGRTGTCAAGACAATATTTTATCACTAATTAGAACAAACTTGGGTGAAGGGCACACACTGAAATAATTACTCAGACGTTGGCTTTTGAGCAAGTTAGTTTATGAGCTATAGATTAAACATCATGTGGCAGCTAAATTATTTTTAAAAAAATATATAGATTTCAATGAGTTTCACTGTAATTTATTGTCCTTGTGAAACAAATGCTTACAAACTCCAAGAGTCCGGTTCACATCAGTCCAGTTCTGAGGACTCTRACTTTCTGTTGCTCAGACAATTAACTTTAGAATCTCTTCCATTTTCACTATAAATAGGATGAATTAGAAACGATCAAGTCCTCTGAGGCCATCTGGATCATATCTGTTTTGTGCTTCCTGTCCCCAGAGTTAGAATCAAAGACGCAGCAAAAAATGTGGAACAAACTCCCAGAACTCCTTTAAAACATGGCTGATCAACTGGGGCCATGTCCAGCCTGCAGGTAACTTTCATCTGGCCTGCCTATGAGGTTCCACAGCCCACACACCAACTTTTTATTTACACAATTTAATATAAAAATGTTTAAATAAAAATAGCTTTTAAATCAGTTGTCAGTTTCACATTGGTGATTTAATGCCACAACATAAACCCATTTAAAATAGTAAAAGATAATACTTGTTTTTGCAGTGCTTCCTCTACCATATTAGGCAAACAATAGGCTGGTTGTGTTCTAACTTGTAACAGAGTTTAACCACCACAAAATGGTGAAGGGACTCAATGACAATAGTCTGTGTGATGCCTGTGGCATTGAATTAGAGACCTCTTTGCACTACTTAGACCACTGCCTGGCTCTGATCAGTCAAAGGAAAATAATTCTTGGGGACCTTTTTATGGATCCTGAGAAGCTCAGAACACTGAGTGTTTCTAACCTTGTTTCCTTCATCTGAGGAACGAGGTTTGATTAAAGTTCAGTGTGTTTTTTGTGGAGAGCAATGGACCCGCTTACCCGCTCATATGGGTTCTTCATCCATCCCCACTCACCATGAACCATAACAGAGATGAATCTGATTTTCTGAGAGCATCTTCCTCCAAAACTCTGACAATCCTCCACAGGATACTCGATGAATTTTTAATCCACGGTTTTCCGAACAGAATAAGTGAAAAATTATTTTTCAAATTTCACCCCTCAGCAAAAGGGAAATCTCTGCACATTTTCCACGAGCTGTTTACAGAAGAAGCAGTCGACAGGCCCGGCAGATAATTAATCAACTTAATGCCAGTTTCATGGAAACTCATTCAGTCACCACATTTCTCGTAGTGCCACTCTGAGGTTCTGATGAATATTTCTGAGAGTGAGTGGAGGAAAGTGGGGGGGGGGGGGGGGTTAGTCAATTAATCCATCTATGTGACTAATTCACTGTTTAGCCATCCTGGAACACTACGCTGAGTTCTGCTCATAAGTAATCAGGGCTTAGTTTGATTTGGCATCACATCTTTCATCATTAAAACAACAACAGCATGGAGAGTGTTGACTTTGATCCTGGTGGAAGTGAAAGATGAAAGCCATCTTTTATTTATTCTCGATCGGCACCTCGGTTCAGAGCCATCTCACACATGACTGATCATCTCAAGGACAACAGACTTTATCTCTAAACTGTAATGACAAATAAAGCCACTACATAGCAGGGAATATTTTATTACGCGTCTCAGATGCTTCCTCCTCTTGTTGTCGACATGCTTACCCTGCCTGTTACAGAGGCTGCTATTTGAATAATTGCTTTCTGAACCTGGAGTCACAATCCTGCAGAGTCCATGAATACAAACAAGTTGAAGGATTTTTTAATACAGGAATGTGTTCCTCATGTGGCAGTGGAGAATTCATGTTCATTCATGAAAAATTAAAATGGGGCACTTGGTTGAGATGTTTCGGTTTATAAAATATAACATTTCCTTTCTTTGTAAATATCGTGTCGCATTTTTTTACCATAGGTTAGAATTTGCTTAAGGGCCAAATTGTTCTAACTAGTGTAAAGTCATGATTGATTAGCTGTTTCCATTCATTCTGGCTGGTCTGTTTTATTTCTCTCATACAGAATTTATATTTATATAAGAATTTCCTTTTTTTTAAGTTTTGTGAATTAATGTTTAAAAACTCATATGCAGGAAAAGAAAATTAGATGCAAGTAAAAGCTAAATAGGATGGTGTGAAATCAATGTAACAAAAATAATGAGTTTTTATTTAAACATTAATGCCTGAAAAAAGCAGTGAATTATTAATGGACAGGATTTGTTTTGCTGTGATATGAGCTGAGCCATGTTAGGAACAAACACAAAGTAATTGTTTCAATA